AAGGGGGCGGGGCGAAATTTTGAAATACACTTGTAGCAGTGTGATATCACATGAGTCTGGAAACAAAATTTGGTTTCTCTAGCTCTTATAGTCTCTGAGATCCAGGCGCTCATCAAGACGGACGGACGGACAGACGGACAGACGGACGGACAGACGGACATGGCTATATAGACTCGGCTATTGATGCTATTCTCTGCGTTGCACACATCCACTTTTACCACAAATCTAATATACCCCTTAACTCTTTTTTGAGTACGGGTATAAAAATTAAATAATAAAAGAACAAAGCAAATATCTTTTTGGACTCTTGGTCCGAACCCACCATAATATCATTGTAGTTTTTGCTGACGCATCAAAAACCACTCTGAGTTTTGTCGTTTGACTGGAATCTCTTATGACTCCTTGATGGGGTAAATAATATTTCCCCTATTTTTTGGACTCTACCATGTGTCCTAAATTTTTATATTCATGCATGAATTTTTGATAATTTTCTTTTAATTTTATATTTTTGCTTAGTTTTCTTTCTAAGCTGTAAAATCGCGCCATGGCTTGTGCCTTTGAATCATCAAGATCCTTTTCTTTTTTAAAAGGTATTTTAACCACATACCTTCTCATTCTCATTCTCATCTCTCCTAGTGGTTTCCAAGAAATGCTTCTCACAAATCTCTTTTTCCACGTCATTGTCTTCGGTTTCCATTTCCCAGAAACGTTCTAAATCGCCAACTTCAATTGTTGTCGCCACGATCAATTTGTCACCTTTTGACTTGGTGCAACCGGATATGATCCAACCGAACTCTGTATTTTGACCAAGTAGTCCATCTATTTTAACTACTCCGTCTTTTACAATATGGGTATATAAATCTACCCCGATTATTACATCTACCCTACTTGGTTTATTAAAGTCAGGGTCTGCCAGCACATAATCTTTCCATTGAGATTTGTCAATATTGAAAGACTTTATTGGTAACGCTTTCACAAGTTTTGGGAGAATAATAGCTTCAATATTAAGCGGTTTTCTACGAGTTTTTACCGACAAAGTAACTTTATATTTTGAGGTGCAAGTGTCTGTCGATGACACGCCACTTACTTCGGTGTTTACTCTTTTTCGCGCCAGGTTTAAAATTTGCGATGCTTCTTCGGAAATTATGGTACATTGCGACCCACAATCAATAAGAGCTCTAAGGTTTTCATAGCCACCATTCCCCGCTCTTACTTTTATAAGTGCGGTGGCTAAAAAGGCTTGTTTTTTTGTCAAACAAGTGTTAACAGTTTCCTTTTTCTCATAAGGAAGATGTAGCATCGTATGATGATACGGTTTTTTACAAATTCCACACAATATTTCTGAAGAACATTTTTTATACTTATCATGCCTACAGCACCTTCTGCATAGGCGCTCTTTTTGTATAAATTGGCTTCTTTCTGTCTCCGTCATTCTCTTAAACTTATAGCAGTACAATATGGAGTGGCTTGCTGATTTGCATAACACACAATTTTCCTTATTGCTGCTATGTTGCACTACTTTTTTTAATGGTTTTTTCTCTTCATCCTTGGAAGAATAAAGAGAATTGTAAACAAACAAAAACGAGAAGGAACGTGTGAGTCGCTTCTGGGGACGCGACTCTACTTATACCCGTACTCAGTCAGTATATACATTTTTGAGCATGATTTTTTAGAATTTTAGAATTAAAAAAAAATTTTACATTTTACATTTTTTTTGCTACATTTGTTATCTACATCTCATCTACAATGTCTATTCTACATCTAACATGTAGATTGTACATGTACCATTTAGATTCTACATCTCCTCCGCTAGGGGTTGCTCGCGCACTGAACGCGGCAGAGTGTGCGAGCGAGAAGGAAAATGAGTTGCGTTGTCTGGAACGGGAGGGGGAGGGGAAGCAACTGAAAATGAATTTCTTCATTCTGGCTATAATTATGATCCGATCTAATTCAGATTCGGCAATCTGGTAGATATGGGCATTTTCTACGCTACTGCGCTTTTAGTTTTATCGTATCTTTAAAACTGTGCCTGCCACAGATTTTCGTCCTTTGTGTGGGCGGAAGGGGGCGGGGCGAAATTTTGAAATACACTTGTAGCAGTGTGATATCACATGAGTCTGGAAACCAAATTTGGTTTCTCTAGCTCTTATAGTCTCTGAGATCCAGGCGCTCATCAAGACGGACGGACGGACAGACGGACAGACGGACGGACAGACGGACATGGCTATATAGACTCGGCTATTGATGCTGATCAAGAATATATATACTTTGTAACGAACCATGGATCCCATGGTTCGTCACAAGCAGATGACGCAGCCAACGCTACTCCCAGGTGAAGCGATCAACACCCAGCAAAAATGCAAACTCAGCACACGCCAAAAGACAGGAGACCAGCAGAAGGGGTTTACGCAATAAGAACCTAAAATAATATTAAATAAATAAATATTCCTAACAATATATATTCCCGAAGTGCCAACGAAATTCCTTTCCCACGGTACTGGTGCACACCGATCACCTTACCTGGGACATTGGGAGGCGAGTGCTTAGGTAACCATCGATTATTGGATATTGGACACTGACTGCAGGGAATGATTAGGTAACCTTCTGTTACCGATCAGCCTGTCTGCACGCGCAGACTATAATTCGGCAATATATATTTATGTAAGAACCCTTCCCACATTCTGGAGTAGAAATAAGATATCTGTAAGACATTCATGGGAAAATCGAAGGCCGGCCGATCTATAAAAGGCACTGCCTTGCATGAAGAAAGGGGAGTCAGTCAATCAGCCATCGCGAGGCAGTCAAATCACCATCCGCGTCGTAGTACAAGTAAACCTAACATAACCGGGTAGAATAATCATACGGAAGAATAAAGAGAACTATTAAAATTAAAAGAACCAAAAAGTGTTGTGATTTCTATTTCAGTTTTCTGGCAAAGTTCCTGGTTTCCCGATAAAGTCCTCGTGAATTATAAATATCTTGTAATTCAGGACCCTGGACAGGCTGATGCATACCTCAGCCTGAAATAGGACATTACAAGTTGTACTGTGACATAATCCATAACAGAGATGATATGAAAACATCTTTGAAGTTTAATTATTTAAAACTCGCGCTAAAAGGTGAAGCAAGGACAATGGTGGCCCACCTATTAACAGGTCCTGCAGAAAATTAGAATGCCGCTTGGGATTTATTAAACAAGCGGTACGAAAATAAAAGAAAAATATTTTCGGATCAGCTAAATCGTATACTAGATCTACCAATGCTAGATAACGATTCTGCAAAACAAATAAAGATTTTTTCTGACTCTATTAATGAGTCTATCCATCTTATTAAATTAAAGTCACATTTGACAGAGGAAGTTGATGTGATTTTCGCGCACATAATTTTGAGAAAGTTTAGTAGAAATACCTTGCAGTTATATGAAACCACTAAGCAAACAACACATAGAGGCGTCAAATCGACTAAAAACTGCCTGCATAAAATTTTTGGACGATTGGCTCCCAAGCCTTCGGGTCGGGAGCCAATAGCTTCGGCAGGCCACTCGGCTCTCTCCGGCTTGAGCCGAGAGAGAGCGCCTTTGCAGCTGTGTCGAATATAAACCGTGTGCGTGTGTAAATCTATGCCTGTATTTGTGTCCTCTGACTCTGACGCCTAGCAACGAAAATCTTTTTTGTCATTGCGAGTTGGATTGCGTTGCTGTTAGTCGATTTCGAACAGCCTATTTCGATATTGCGATTTAATAATATCATCATTTACATACATATTTATATTGTTCTTATTATTATTACTATACTATTTTTGATTACTATATTATACAATACAAATAAATAACCTATTTACTATTTTATTATAACATACATATATCTTATTCATACTTTATATTCTTCTTTTTATTATTATTCTTAATATATTATATTATGGAATTACCAACTAAGGACCATAGACAAGCTGGCTCCAGGTGCGTTATAGAATCGTGCTTGCAAGGGTACAGGAATGGCGCCGAGCATTTTTCTATACGCCTTTTCAAATTTCCCAAAAACGAAAATGTTCGTCGTCTGTGGGTTGCAAATTGTAATCTAGGTCCGGATGTAAATTTAAATAAAGCGCATATATGCAATCAACATTTTGAAAAAAAGTATTTTGGAAATAAAAAATTAAAATCAGGTGCTGTACCAACTCTGAGATTGTTTCAGGCACCGAATTTCAATAACAACCTTCCCCAAGCTACCGAAAACAATGTGTTTAGATTTGCGGACAATAGCGACGAAATCGGATCATATTCTGATTTTAAAAAAGAAACTTTTATAGTAAAAAATAATTTGGAATTTGACGTAGACATGGAAAGTCTACCTTCCGTCGCCATCGAACCCGTTGATAATAAAATGATTGTATCTAATGAGCCTACCCAAAATGTGGAATTTTGTCCGAACTGCTTGAAGAAGGAGCAAAATGAATTATATTACAAAAATAAGTATTGGGAAATGTCTCAAGAACTTCATAAAGAAAAAAAGAGAGTTTTATTGTATAGGAAGAAGGTACATAAGCTTCAAACATCGTTAAGGATCGAAAAATACAAGAAGCTCCGATATTCGAAAGAGTCACGTATACGGGAAAATATATTTACAATGATAGACAAGAATAAAATGATATCAAAAAATTCAAATTCGGTTTGCAAAATGCTCCTTAAAAATAAAACTTCCTGGCAAGAGGATGAAAAAATAATTGCTCAAAGCATACATTTTTATTCTTCCAAGGCATATGATTTTATGCGAAATGATTTTGGGTTAAATTTTCCGTCTAAATCATCTTTGGGTAGATGGGCTCCTGTGAAATGTTTGGTCCCAGGCCTAAATGAGAGTTTATCAAACACGTTGCTTACAATATTTTCAAAAATGGACGTAAAAAGTAAGCATGCTGTTTTAATTTTCGATGAAATCTCAATTAGAAAGGGCCTGCATTATAATTCACACCGAGATGAAGTGGAAGGGTTTGTGGATGATGGTGTGGAAAAAACATCTCAACTGTGCAAGCAAATTTCTGTATTCATGGTTAGGGGGCTCTATGTGAGTTGGAAATATGTTTTAAGTTACTTTGCAACATCCACTGGGCTGACTTCTCTGAAGTTAAAGGAAAAAATCGAAAAAAATATCAAAGCTGCTCATGAATTGGGCCTTAATATTAGAGCAATTGTATGTGATCAAGGCTCAAATAACCGCGGAGCCTTTAAAAAATTTGGGGTGAGCTTGGAAAACCCATATTTTAAAGTCGATGGTCATAAAATTTTTGCCATCTACGATGTCCCACATATTATAAAATCATTACGAAATATCTTAATGAAAAATTGTATCGAAACACCTGATGGACCAGTATCATGGAAAGTAGTTGAAAAATTGTTTGAAATAGATACTAATAACTCTTCTACTAGATTATGTCCAAAATTAACAAGTAAGCACATATACCCCAATTCATTTGAAAAGATGAAAATGAAATATGCTACACAAGTATTTAGCCACACGGTATCCTCTGCAATCAAAACATTAATTGAAAGTGGCAATTTCGATAATTGCAGGGATGTAGCATATTCAACTGCTATTTTCTTCGAAAGGGTAAATAAAATGTTTGATTGCTTAAACAGCAATAATCTAAGTGACAAAAACCCAATGAAGTCGGCTCTACAAAAAAATAACAATGTGGAAAAATACATTATGGAAATGAAAGAGTATTTTGAGAAGTGTCGTTATCCCAGCAATGTATATTGTATTGATGGACTTATTCTCTCTATGAATTCAATACTATTGCTTGCGCACGAAGTATGGAATGAAAATACAGATGTTTACTTCTTGATTTTGTCTCGACTGAATCAAGATGCATTGGAGAACCTTTTCTATCTAATAAGAAGTAGAGGGGTTACCAACAATAATCCAATGCTCTTCGAATTCAACGCAATCATTTCAAAAATGTTGTCAATGAAAATCATTACCTCAAAAAGTACAAGTGGAAACTGTGAACCGGATGATGACAACATGCTTATAAATGTGATTGATGAGGCAAAGCGAGAAATTCAAGTCGAAATTTCGGAGACCAAAGAACAGTTACCTTGCCAAGAGGTTGCCTTAGAAAAATGCAATAATGAACATAGCCCTCATATAACCGAGACTATGGATTTGTCTTTCACTAATATTATTAGTAAAAGTAGTGAAAACGCATTGCGTTATTTTACAGGTTTTGTGTTGTATAAGTCGCAACAAAAGTTTAATTGCGACACCTGCGGCGAACTTTTAAAGGACAACATTGTGCACTGCGAAAATTCAGAGCAATTTTTGTTCAATAAAAACTTTAAAAGTATTAATAATAATTTAAAGCTCAAGGCCCCACAAGACGATTTTTTTAACTTAATAAAATTACTTTACAATATATTCCACGATATCTTTACAAAGAAACCTCATATGCGGAATATTGTAGTACGCTTGGATGTTATAATTGTTATGATTGATTTTTATTTAAATGAAGCTTATATTTATACAAAATCGTTGGGGCGAGTTGCCTCCATGCAGGTGTTCTATCGTGGGAAACAAAGCCCTGTTGCGTAAGGTTCCCACAGTCAATATGCAATATGAGGCGTCAGCTTTCGGTCAGCGGTGGTACCTGCCCAATGCCCGTTACGTAAGGTTCTCTCGGTTTAGATGCAGACGCATCACTTTTGGGCAGTGACAATGACCGCCGCCGAAACTGCATCATATTGCAACTTGGCCTTGGGGTGGTGCTTAAATTGGTTAGGCCAAGCACACTGCATGAATACACTACAATATCAAGCAAATTATTTATAACCAATGCATTTTACAAACTGAAAGCGATGTGAGATAAAGCAATTGGTTTTCTGAAACACACGTTTGCAGTGCACATAGAAAACATATTCTTAATTATTTTCTGCTAGTTCTGCTTCGAAAGAATAGTATTTGGCTTTCGGAAAAATTATTAGGAACGTCTGGAAATCAGAGTTCAAATAAGATAAAAATATTAAAGTCTTAAACACACAATAAAATACGTTTGTTCACATGTACATATGTTAATATATACATTTATTATTATTATGTACACATATTTTTATATAAAAACGAACATCAAAACAAAAAAGAAATGACAAAAAATATAATACAATATACATATAATACAATAATAATAATAATAATATAATATAATATAATATAATAAAATATAATATAATAATAAAATAAAATAGCCACTGAGAAAAAATACAAAGTAAACGAGGGCCCCCAGATTGATGGTTGCCCAGGCCCTGGTTGAGGGTTGATCCGGCCCTGAAAAGGTCGAGTTTGGTTTTAAAGTTGTTAGAGGACACAAATACAGGCATAGAGTTACACACGCACACGGTTTATATTCGACACAGCTGCAAAGGCGCTCTCTCTCGGCTCAAGCCGGAGAGAGCCGAGTGGCCTGCCGAAGCTATCGGCTCCCGACCCGAAGGCTTGGGAGCCAATCGTCCAAAAATTTTATGCAGGCAGTTTTTAGTCGATTTGACGCCTCTATGTGTTGTTTGCTTAGTGATGAAACTCATATTAAACGGTCTAAAAAAATTCAAACATTACCAGATGTTATGGAATTCTTAGAGCAACGGTACAATTCTCTTTATTCTTCCCAGGATGAAGAGAAAAAACCATTAAAAAAAGTAGTGCAACATAGCAGCAATAAGGAAAATTGTGTGTTATGCAAATCAGCAAGCCACTCCATATTGTACTGCTATAAGTTTAAGAGAATGACGGAGAAAGAAGCCAACTTATCAAAAAGAGCGCTATGCAGAAGGTGCTGTAGGCATGATAAGTATAAAAAATGTTCTTCAGAAATATTGTGTGGAATTTGTAAAAAACCGTATCATCATACGATGCTACATCTTCCTTATGAGAAAAAGGAAACTGTTAACACTTGTTTGACAAAAAAACAAGCCTTTTTAGCCACCGCACTTATAAAAGTAAGAGCGGGGAATGGTGGCTATGAAAACCTTAGAGCTCTTATTGATTGTGGGTCGCAATGTACCATAATTTCCGAAGAAGCATCGCAAATTTTAAACCTGGCGCGAAAAAGAGTAAACACCGAAGTAAGTGGCGTGTCATCGACAGACACTTGCACCTCAAAATATAAAGTTACTTTGTCGGTAAAAACTCGTAGAAAACCGCTTAATATTGAAGCTATTATTCTCCCAAAACTTGTGAAAGCGTTACCAATAAAGTCTTTCAATGGAAAGATTATGTGCTGGCAGACCCTGACTTTAATAAACCAAGTAGGGTAGATGTAATAATCGGGGTAGATTTATATACCCATATTGTAAAAGACGGAGTAGTTAAAATAGATGGACTACTTGGTCAAAATACAGAGTTCGGTTGGATCATATCCGGTTGCACCAAGTCAAAAGGTGACAAATTGATCGTGGCGACAACAATTGAAGTTGGCGATTTAGAACGTTTCTGGGAAATGGAAACCGAAGACAATGACGTGGAAAAAGAGATTTGTGAGAAGCATTTCTTGGAAACCACTAGGAGAGATGAGAATGAGAATGAGAAGGTATGTGGTTAAAATACCTTTTAAAAAAGAAAAGGATCTTGATGATTCAAAGGCACAAGCCATGGCGCGATTTTACAGCTTAGAAAGAAAACTAAGCAAAAATATAAAATTAAAAGAAAATTATCAAAAATTCATGCATGAATATAAAAATTTAGGACACATGGTAGAGTCCAAAAAATAGGGGAAATATTATTTACCCCATCAAGGAGTCATAAGAGATTCCAGTCAAACGACAAAACTCAGAGTGGTTTTTGATGCGTCAGCAAAAACTACAATGATATCATGTGGGTCGGACCAAGAGTCCAAAAAGATATTTGCTTTGTTCTTTTATTATTTAATTTTTATACCCGTACTCAAAAAAGAGTTAAGGGGTATATTAGATTTGTGGTAAAAGTGGATGTGTGCAACGCAGAGAAGGAAACGTTTCCGACCCCATAAAGTTGTAATGTCCTATTTCAGGCTAAGGTATGCATCAGCCTGTCCAGGGTCTTTATTTTAGAAATCACAACACTTTTTGGTTCTTTTAATTTTAATGGTTTTCTTTATTTTTCCGTATGATTATTCTACCCGGTTATGTTAGGTTTACTTGTACTACGACGCGGATGGTGATTTGACTGCCTCGCGATGGCTGATTGACTGACTCCCCTTTCTTCATGCAAGGCAGTGCCTTTTATAGATCGGCCGGCCTTCGATTTTCCCATGAATGTCTTACAGATATCTTATTTCTACTCCAGAATGTGGGAAGGGTTCTTACATAAATATATATTGCCGAATTATAGTCTGCGCGTGCAGACGGGCTGATCGGTAACAGAAGGTTACCTAATCATTAGCCCCGCAGTCAGTGTCCAATATCCAATAATCGATGGTTACCTAAGCACTCGCCTCCCAATGTCCCAGGTAAGGTGATCGGTGTGCACCAGTACCGTGGGAAAGGAATTTCGTTGGCACTTCGGGAATATATATTGTTAGGAATATTTATTTATTTAATATTATTTTAGGTTCTTATTGCGTAAACCCCTTCTGCTGGTCTCCTGTCTTCTGCCGTGTGCTGAGGTTGCATTTTTGCTGGGTGTTGATCGCTTCACCTGGGAGTAGCGTTGGCTGCTTCATCTGTTTGTGACGAACCATGGGCTCCATGGTTCGTTACACCCCCCCCCTTTCTTCCGGGTGGGTGGTGGAGAGATTTGTGGCGCCGCTTGGCGGGTGCTGAGGTTGATATTTCCTTGCTTTGTCTCGTCTCTTGCTGTGGATTGTGGTGGCGCATGTGCTGAGTTTTCATTTCTTTGGGTGTTGAACTCGTCATTTGAGAGCGTTCGTTACTTCCGTGGTAGTGGGGGTTGGTTACATATTCTGAGCCCGCGGGTTTTTTGGTTCTTGGCTGCGCGTGTGCTGCGTTCTCGTCTTTGGGTTCGTTGGCTTTGGCTGGTCAGCTGCCGATATATGGAAACCAGAGTCGGGGCTAGGGGGATTGCGGGGGGCTGGTGGTAGTATTTGCCTCGTCGGGGGCATCACTGTCCTCGTGGAATTCCTTCAGGTCGTTGATGTTAGCCACCTTCGCTTTTCGGCTGCCCGGATGCTGTAGTTTTACAATGTTCGGTGATGCAAAACCTTTGACTCGGTATGGTCCATCGTATTTCGGTGCCAGCTTAGCGGCGAATCCGTCGGCCGCGTTGGAGAGGTGGTGTTGTCGTAGAAGTACTAGGGATCCAATAGTGGGGCGCCATTGCCGGCGGCGGAGGTTGTAATGCCTTCCTTGTTCTTGGCTTGCCCTCTGGATGTTATTTCTGACAATGGTGAATACTTCGCTGAGTTTGGTTGCCTTGCCGAGAGCGGTCTCTGGGGGGCTTCCGGTGCCGGTCGTGACTTCGTCGTAGAGGGCTCCAGGCAAACGGGGCTCTCTTCCATGCAGTAGGAAAGCTGGGCTGAATCCCGTTGTCTCCGAAACGCTGGAATTTATTGCGAGGGATATTTCCGGTAGTAGCTCATCCCAGGTATTTTGACGATCCCCTACGAATTGGGCAATCATGGTCTTGACCGTCCGATTTGCCCGTTCCGTTGGATTTTCCTGGGGGCAGTAGGGTGCGGTATGTTGCAGTTCTACTCCTGCTGTCTGTAGAAATGACCGAAACGATCGACTTTTGAATTGCGTGCCGTTGTCGCATACGAAGCGTTTGGGTATGCCGAAATGGCTCAGGATTCGTTCTCGGAAAGCCAGTTCCAGGGTAGCGGTGGTGGCCTTTTTGAGTGGTACCAATTCGACCCATTTCGTGAAAGTGTCAAAGAAGACGAGCAGCATCGTGTTTCCTTTCTTTGATCGAGGTAGTGGTCCAACGAAGTCAGCGCATAGTGTAGCGAATGGCTCTTCGGCTTTGCTTTGCCCCCGACGAGGCAAATACTACCACCAGCCCCCCGCAATCCCCCTAGCCCCGACTCTGGTTTCCATATATCGGCAGCTGACCAGCCAAAGCCAACGAACCCAAAGACGAGAACGCAGTACACGCGCAGCCAAGAACCAAAAAACCCGCGGGCTCAGAATATGTCCCACCGGCTTGCGCTGTTGAGCTTTGAACTTCTGGCAGCTTACGCAGCCACGGACATATTTCCTCACGTCTCGGTAGAAACCTGGCCAATAGTACCGTTGGGATATTCGGGTGATGGTTTTCCTGACCCCTAGGTGGCCGGCTGTGGGTTGGTCGTGGCATTCGTGAAGTATTCTGGCTCGTTGATCTTTTGCTACGCAGAGTTTCCATGCTATATGGTCGTCGTCGTCGGCGCCATGGCCCAGATGTCGATATAGTTCCCCGTTAGCATAGGTGTAGTCGGGGTATTTCTGAGGCTCGTCTTGGACTTGTTTTATCCGGTGCTGGAGCCAGGGGCAGGCTGT